TTGTTAATTGGTGTAGGAGAGTCCAGCCCACTCTGAGTGGCACTATTCCCTAGACAGGTGGTCTGGGGCTATATGAGGAAAGAGAAGAAGAAGGAAAAAAGAAAGAATGAAAGAAAGCTAAGTGTGGATCTGCAAACAATCAACAAGTATTCCTCCATAATTTCTGCTTCCATCTTGTTAAGTGATAGATGGTAACTTGGAAAAAACTCTTTCCTTTCCTGAATTGCTTTTGGTCAAGAGTATTAACCACACAACAGAAAGTAACTAGAACATCACCTCATTTAGTATTTAGTATTATCAAGACAGTTCCACACAGGCATGGCCAGAAGTCTGTCTCCCAAGTGATTCTCTTCAAACTGACAATTGAGATAAGTAGTATGACTACATTATACCTATAGATAACTCATGCCTTACTTAATTGTCCTTTCCTGCCTTTAAACCTTTTCCATAAGGAACACACTTAAAGCTGATCAGCCCCTGCAACAGATGATATTGAGTCTGAAAAGAACAAAAGGCCAAAGGGAGTAAAACAAATAAGGAAATCAGTCCACAGTACATAGGAGGTAATTTTATTTTTACTATTAAACTAGAAATACTAAGTTAGGCATATGTAACTCAGTGGTAAAGTACTTGCCTGGTAAGAACAAGGCCTTTGGTTTGATACCCAGCACTGCAAAAGAAGACTAAAATAACAGTATGTGTTGACCGGGGTTTCTTTCCCATCAGGTTCCACATCTGTTTAGTCCCAAATAAACACACAGAGGTCTACATTAATTATAAACTGGTTGTTCTATTTGCTCAGGCTTCTTATTACTTTTTTTTTTTTTTTTTTTTTTTTTGGTTTTTCGAGACAGGGTTTTTCTGTAGCTTTTGAGCCTGTCCTGGAACTAGCTCTTGTAGACCAGGCTGGCCTTGAACTCACAGATATCCGCCTGCCTTTGTCTCCCGAGTGCTGGGGTTAAAGGCATGTGCCACCACTGCCCTTGTTAATTCTTATAACTTATATTGGCCCATAATTCTTGTCTATGTTAGCCACGTGGCTTGGTACCTTTCTTGGCAAGGTAGTCACATCTTGCTTGCTCTGTGTCTGAGTGAGGACTGTATACTGATTCTTTCCTCTTCCCAGAATTCTGTTCTCATTGCCCCGCCTCTATTTCCTGCCTGGTTGCCCTTCCTATACCTCCTGCCCGGCTACTGGCCAATCAGCATTTTAAACAAGTACAAGAAACAAATCTTTATAGGATAAAACCATTGTCCCACAGCAAGTGTGTTCCAACTGCTTTCACCATCTACACAATTTTGGTGCTATTAAACAGTGAGTCATAAGAATATAGGAACTCTTCCTTATCACTGTTTATATTCTTCTGTTGTACCCGCATCATGGGACTCCCAAGCCAGACCACCACAGAGCCGGTATTCCATGCAAACACACTGGAGTTTATTGATTACAAATTAGCTAACTAGGACTGTAATCAGTCACTCCATAGTCCATCACTCTGATGCAGCAGGTGGGGGAAAATGACCCCAAGGCTTCAGGGTAAGGGACTATAGAGGGGAAAACTGCAAGCAGGGTGACACAAACCTTGGTATTTCAGGATTGGGAGCTAGGGGAATTTTAAAACAATGACTGTCAGCAGATAAGAATTTCAAAACAGTCGTTAATCAGATACCCACAAGGACATTTGAAGCAAGCAGGTCTTGTTTGGACCCCCTGGTGGGTCTCTTTGACTAGGGCTGGCACAGTTTCTTGGGAATGTTTATGACTTTGCTAGGCTGCATGCTATTTTTGGGCTGAGGTAGAGGTGCTTTTTTGATTTCTGGTCTTCTGGTTGAACTCCAGTATCTGTCTCTGGGTTTTTATTAAACGTGTTACAAAGTTGTGTAGAATTTTATGACTGCTTCGTGATAATGTGGTCTAGTTCAGGTCTTTGCACTTAATGTCTCTAGAATACACAGAAGGTGGAAGGTCCCCCCCCCCCGCTGAAGTCACCCTCACTCACACACATACAATAATAGTAATAAATGTGAATATTTGATACATACTGAAGGTCAGGAAGTATCTTCAACATCTCCCAGAGTTGTTACTTTGATTTTAACATTGTCAGTTCTAAGACTGTCACATTGTATAATTAATCATTCATGATGTACAAGTACGTTTAGGACATAACAAAAATTATTCAAATTCTGTCCTAATCTCAAGACAAAATTAATTTAATGATGTACTAATCTCAAAAAGAGTTATTCTTGTTTTGAGACATGGTTTGTCTACGTAGCCTGACTGTACTAGAACTCACTTTTTCTTCCCATCTCTGAGTTTACTTAAACAAGTCAATTAATTTAGAAATCCCATTCAAACAAAACTTCTGACGATGTGTAAACACAGCGCCATGTTCTTGAAACAGATGCTAACACCTGAAAAAAAGTTGTTAATGGCTTGTGAGGAAAGTTGTCCATTAATAAGACCTGAACTTTCCCAGCTGAAAAAACCATTAAACTACAGTCGAATACAAAGACAGTTTTGACGGAGTTATAGCTATTAATCAGGTTCTTTTCCGGCGCCACATGAAAACAAACCACTCACATCAATAAACAATGGCTTTTTTCTTTATCACAATTCATAAGCGATGTTAATTATGGCCCTTGTCAAACACTATTGTCAAACAATAGTAAAGGCTATTTACAGTATACATGGCCAAGCATGCACTATTAACAGTTACAGAGAGGCCTGCCAGTTTCCTAGAGATCACACAGTGCCTAAAAATGGTGACAGATCACATTTTTCATTTAAATCAACACAATTTCAAACAGAAAATGTTCCTTTTTTGACCACAATTGCAATAGGTACATGAAAATTCTTAGAAAAATATGAATTCCCTTCAAGAAATTGATGCATATTCTGTACACTACGGGTTATGGCATGGTACTCACTTTTGTAGACCAGGCTGGCCTCAAACTCACAGAGATCTCTCTGCTTCTGTCCCCAAGTGCTGGGATTTAAGATGCACCACCATGTTCAGCTCAAGCAACAATGTTCTTAAAATCAAGCATTCCAATACAATTTAATCCAAAGATAAACTAATTTTATATTTATATGCTGAGGAATGGTGGTAGGAAAATACTACAAGTCTTTGTTTTCCATAATTTTTGATATTTTCTACAAGAATAGAAAACTTTGTAGAGTAAAAACACTGAATTCATATTATGTGATTGTCTTAACCGAGGTGTGAGGGCATTAACAGTGCAGAGTGGTCACAGTGTGTTTTGTGAGTCCAAGCTCCAGTGATTCACACAGTACAATACAAGCGAGCACTGACTGAAACAACATAGGTTTATGGTGTAGTAGATTCTGAATTAACTTTTTGTCAAAATCCTCTTACTGTTGCTAATTATTTTTTAATCCAAACATTTATTTACATAGCTCCCTCCATATGGGATCTCAACCCATTCTAAGCTGTGTTCTCACAGACAGGATGAGTCTATGCTCACAGCACTTGTGAAGTAGAGACAAAAGGACCAGGAATTGAAGGTCTTTCTTAGGTCCACAGCAAGTTAGAGACCAACCTGGACGCCTCGTCTATAAGTCAGACAAACTATGTTCTAGAAGGGAAGAGAAGTTACAGAGATGTATTTGACCCCTTCATTCTTTTTCTCACTTCTAGTTGAAGCACATTTTTTCTCTGGATTTAATATATGTTGAGGAGTGAATATAAGCAACTTTTGGGTTGGTGGTTGTTTCTTTTGTTTGTTTGTTTTTAACTCATTTCATGTGTATAGGTGTTCTGCCTGCATGTATGTCTGTGTGAGGGTGTTGGATCCTCTGGGACTGGAGTTACAGTTGTGAGTTGCCATGTGGACGCTGGGATTTGAACCTGGATCCTTTGCAAGAGCAGCCAATGCTCTTAACCACTGCTCTGAGCCATCTTTCCAGCTGCCTACTATTTTGTGGGAATAGAAAACAACAAATATAAGTTTTAAGTTTGATAATTGTAGTGATAGTGGTTATTTTGATAGTCTTTGACATTGACAATTGGACAGTTAATACTAGAATAAATTGGTATTCCTTCTGAACCATGAATTTTAAGAGACAGTGTTTATTTTCTAGGGAAATGGGACCCAGCCATTTTAACATACTTTTGTAAATCAAACTTTAGTTAAGGCCCCAAACCTGAAATGAAATAGTTCTGAAGATAAATAAGATTTTTCTTTTTTTAACATAAGATGAATTTGGTGTTTTTGAAAACCATTGTTTTATGAGAATACGAAAGGAAGACAGCCTAAACTCCTTTTTAAAATTGGTCATCTTGCCCGGGAACCCACTTTCCTGCTGCCAGTAGGGCATCGTTACTTCCATCTGTTTTCTGTTGTGAGTATGCCAGATGTCATCTTGAGAGTATTCTCTGGTTTAAAGGAATTGTGTAACTCTGGACTAGATTTTAAAAAGGTGTATTTTACCCTAAACTCTAAGGATGCCGTATGAGGTGAGTTGATATAAAATTTACTTGGGGTCACTCTAAAGAGAATTATTGCCTGTGCTGCTGAGTTCTCCCATATCTCTAAGAGCCTGTTTCTCTGGGAAATGGAAAGCAGAGGCCACAATATTTATCTTAGACATCATCAAAATATATGTGTGTTTTACTGGGTATGGTTACACATGCCTTTAATCCCAGCACTTGGGAGACAGAGACAGGTGGATCTCTTTGTTTGAGGACAGCCTGGTCTACATAGTGAGTTCCAGGACAATCAGGACTACACAGAGAAACCCTACCTCAAAAAATAAATAAATAAAAATAAAAGAAATATATGTGTTTTACTTTTGAAATGTGTTTATTGAACTTAATCATTGTAATCTTTTATCGTGTTTAACTTTTTTATTTGCTAGTATAGATGTTTAAATACTCAAGTTTTGAAATAGATATTTTAAATGTAGTATGTTAATTCATTTAAATTCTAAGTCACTTTTTCATATTAAATGACCACCTTTTGTTTATTGAACATTACAGCAAATTGCTTTTAAAAACCTGGTACAGAGAAATCGACAAAATGAACAGCAAAACCAGGGTCCTCCAGCTCTGAATTCCACCATTCAGCTGCCATTTATAATCATTAATACGAGCAGAAAAACAGTCATAGATTGCAGCATCTCCAGTGACAAGTGAGTAGGAACTAAGGGAGGGGTACAGGGCCTGCCTTCTGCTAATGTTCTCCCACTCCACTGTCTACAGCCCTTCCCCTGGCTTCAGTGGGGTGTGTGCAGTATGTCCTCGGGCATGGTGCTGTTTTCAGCCAGAGTGAGCGCTGTCGTTTACCATACAGTTTCTACTGCATGTTAGGCTTGCCTGTGACACATGTGGTGGTACCTGGGCCCTAGCTGTCATGTGTGTCACTTTTGTGGTAACTGAGCAAGTAACTGCAATAAGTTAGACCATCAGCGAGGGCCCAGGAGGAAGTCAGGTCATTGGTGAGTCACTGTTCTGCTTTCTTAGGAAAATATATCAGACCAGTGTGTGACATTAAAGCAATTGTCTCATTTATTACATCATACTTAAGTATGCTAATATTTGGTTTAACGTCCAGTCTGTCCTCTAACTTAACTATGTAGCCACAGATGACATTCAGTTCATCCTCCTTCCACGACCTCCCACATGCTGAGATTAAAAGGCATGTGCCATAACATGTGCCATTTTTGCTTATTTATGAATGAACACGTGAGCATTAAAATCCTGAGTACAAGACTGGGAGATGGCACAGTGACGAAAGTGTTTACTGTAAAAGCAGAGTCCTGAGATTTGATCCCCACCCCCATATAAAGGCTGGTGTGTCATGCTTACCTGTAACCCTGCTGGGGGCCGGGGATGGTGATAGCAGAGCGGGAAGTTTCCTAGGGCTTGCTTAGGCAGCCTAGCTCAGTGAGCTTCAGGCGCTGTGAGAGAACCTGTCTGAAAAAATAAGTTAGGAAGTAATAAAGGAGGACACCCAATGCCTTGTCTGGCCTCTACCCATGTGAATGCATAAATCAATAAATCTTTTTAAACTATCTCAAACAGTTTAAGTAAAATTGACACCATTCACTTTAGCAAATAAGAAGTAGCACTTTTCAAAGAAAAGCATTCATTGTATTTTACTTGTCCTTCATGAGGAAGTAAGAGGTGCATAGAGGACAAGACGGGTTCCAGTTGTGGATCCAGCGCCTCTCCCTGCCTGCTCCATGGAGCTGCTGTTTACAGCCTTGTGAAGTTGAATGAGATGATGCTTCTAAAAGACCTGGTTCACTGTAACATTTTATAAATACTAGTTGCTGTTCTTAGGGACAAGCAGTTTTCATTTTTTAAATTTCTTAGCCTTTCTAAGATCTCATTCCTTTCTCCAGAAATAAAAATTAGGGCCAGCAAAATGGCTGAGTGGATCAAAGGTGCTTGCTGCCAAATCTGGTGACCTGATTCTAATCCTCAAAACCCACAATTTAAAAGGAGACAACCAACTCTAAAAAGTTGTTCTCTGACCTCCACACATGTTCCATGGTGCACACACACTAAAATAATGTATAGGAAATCAAGAACCAAAAAATTAAAATCAGTTACTTATTTTGCCAATTTATAAAAACTATAGATAAATTCACATAATATCTAGCCCAGTAAACTGTTGGCTATCATAGTTATTATTCACATCCCCAGACTCTACAGAAACCTGTGTCTAAGAGAACTATCAACATATAACACCGAGAAGCCTTCAAACTGGTTAACATCTTCGGAAGTGATCTATAAATGTCATACTGTAATTACTCTCTAAAGTTAGTCTCTTCTTTTATGAGGGACTATGTAATTCTCTTCTTAGATTATAGGGCTTCCACAGCTGAGCATGTAGTACATAGCCTGTGAACCCAGTACTCGGGAGGTTGAGCAGAAGGGTTGCTATGAGTTGGCCAGCATTGGCCAGCCAGGAGAACTGCAGAAGAAAGACCTGTCTCAATAAATAAATAAATACATTAAGTTTTGAATAATTAAAAATTTCAGGAAAATTGGGAACCCTTGGGAACTATTGACCTTAACAGTTTGTGGTCACTGTTCACCCAGGCTGGGACCTATTTTGGTTCTATGCCTTGGGTGGTCACTGACTCATGCCTTGCTTGGCCTCCCCTCATGGAGCAGCTTGCACACACTTGTTATTTGAGGTAGGTCCGTAATCTTGTCTGTCAGTTACTTTGGTGAAGCAATCTTACCCTTAATTAGCCAGGAGGCTTTCCCACAATAAAATTAAGTTTACAAAGCCATCCGCTAAAGATGTCTGAAATCATCCCTCTGGCAGGTGCCCACTTCCAGTTCATTGTGAGCTTGTTAATATACTTTATTCAGACTCACTTCAGCCTCCTGCTTTAAGTTAGAAGATTTGCCCTGGTTTAAGATGTAGTATAAGTCTCAACCTCACATGCTTTTAATAGAGAATCCCATAACAAGGTCAAACCCACAATTATTCAGAACTTGCACTAGAACAAACAGCACAGAACCTGTAGATGGAGGTCTCGGGCCTGGCTAGGGGAATCAATTCTGTCCTTCCCCAAAGTATTTCCTGGGGATAAGCTTAGGCCACATCTTGTTGGCCCTTTCTTTGCTTCTCGATTGTGCTGTGTAGTCAGGCATCTAAACTGATTACTTTTCAAGAACATTCTGATAGCTGCTATGTAGTTTATCTATGGTACTTTTGTTGGTTTGTGACAGATTCTCACTGTGTGGACTAGACTGGACTAGAAGTCTTGAAACCTAAGATGGCTTTAAACTCTAGAGGAATCATACTGCTGTTGCCTTCCAAGTAATGGTATTAAAGGCATGAACTACCATACCATACTGAGCTCTGTGACACTTGCTTAAGATATTTTATTCTTAGTTCCTCATGATAGGATTTGGCTGGGTTTGCTTTGTTACAGTTGTTTTCCACTTAATTCAAATATGTTCAGTTCAAGTGTCTGAAGTTCCAGTTACCTAAGAGGATCCCTGAATCTAGGAGTTCAGACCAAACTGTGCAGTGTGGTACAACCTCATTTCAAATCAAAGGGAAAAGTTTTCTTGATTGACTGTGTATTCTGTGGCTAGCTGGAAAATTAATTGAGCATTCACTTTTCTTCTTTAAGACTAATAAGCCAGTCTACTAGAAACCCCAGGAAGCAAATTAAGCAGACAGAGCACAGGGTTGTAAGACCTTGCAGAGCTCCTCCATGTCACCAAGACCCCATACTTCCTTTCTTTCTTATTTTTATTTTTGTTTTTTTGGGGGTTATTTTGTTTTGTTGAGACATGGTTTCTCTGTGTCGTCCCGGCTGTCCTGGAACTCACTCTGTCTCGCTCTGTATGACAGGCTGGCCTCAAACTCAGAAATCTGCCTGCTTCTGCCTCCTGAGCGCTGGGATTAAAAGGGTGTGCTACCACTGCATGGCCTCCTTTATTTCTTTAAAGAAAAATTATTATTAAATTTATGTATTTAGGGGTGTGTGTGTGTGTGTGTGTGAGAGAGAGAGAGAGAGAGAGAGAGAGAGAGAGAGAGAGAGAGAGAGAGAGAACAAACTGAACTCAAGTTGTCAGGATTGGTACCTGGCACCTCTACCTATTGAGCCATCTCACTTGACCATCCCCATCCTTGCTTTATTTTGCAGGTTTGAATACCTTTTTAATTTTGATAACACTTTTGAGATCCATGATGACATAGAAGTACTGAAGCGGATGGGAATGTCCTTTGGTCTGGAGTCAGGCAAATGCTCTCTGGAAGACCTGCAAATTGCAAAATCCCTGGTTCCGAAAGCTTTAGAAGGCTATGTCACAGGTATGTTGGAGATGCTATGTACCCAGTTGAATGTCAAGCTGACTTGTTAAACATTCTTACAAATGCAGTTCAGAGAGCACGTGCTAGCTTCACTGGGTGGCGTTCTTAAATACTTTATATAATTAAAAAATCAGTGATTTTTTTTTTAAAGAGTACAAGCTTACATCTACACAGTATATGTTGTACAAAAAAATTGGCTGACTCTAAGTTTAGGTCTACAGTGATATATTTTCTCTGTAATTCTGAGAGTTTAAGTAAAGTCTTGTAAAGCTTTTAGTGAAAAGCTTGATGGAAGTTTGGCTTTTTGTTTTTGTTTATAATTCTAGGGGAACTTAAGAGTATTTTGCCAAAAAAAAAATAGATTTACCTCACTCTACTGGAATGCTGTATTCAGAAAATGTCTTCGTTTCTTTGACAATCACCGTGACCGAGGAAGGGTTTACTGTGGGGTTAGAGTTACAGGGGAGAAGAGTGGATCATGGCAGCAAGCAGGAGGTGTTTAGGCTGGAACAGAAAGCGGAGTGCTAACTGGAAATGACTTGACTCTTGAAACCTCAGAGCCTACCCCCAGCAAGGCCACACCTCTAATACTGGAGACTGCATATTGAAATGCCCAAGACTTCTGGGGACATCTTAGTCAAACTACCACAAGGAATATAGTAAAAATTTTAAGTGTCAGAAAAAACCCCAGAAAACATGGATTTGTGCTTATGTTCATTATTCTCCGTACAGCGAAATCTCTAAATGGTCTGTATTTCCTGTTTCATATTCCTCTCCCGGCTTTAAGTTGTTTGTATGAAATAGTGAGTAGATACAGAGCGTTTCTACAGTTAGAGACTGAACAGTCCTAGTCCAGTGACTCATCACGTAGGAGAAAACACGATACTGTTGAAGTAAGTTATCTGCGCCCTGCTATCTGTGACTCTGTCCACACCTGCAGACATAGCCAGTTCCTTCAATGTCTTCTTTAAACAAGAATTTGCTGTTAGCCCAGCCTCACCTCTAATCTTGGCTTTCTTACCTTAGTCTGATAGATGTATATCACACTACAGCTTTAAATTTCTTATTTCTTATTTATTCATTTGCTTTTCTTTAGAGCAGTAGTTCTCAACCTTCCTAGTGCTGCAACCCTTTAATACAGTTCCTCATGGTTTGGTAAGCCCCAACCATAAAATTATTTCGCTGCTACTTCATAACTATAATTTTGCAACTATTATGAAGCATAATGTAAATATGTGATATGCATAATATCTAGTATGTAACCTCTATGGAAAGGTCATTTGACCACTGATTTAGGAGGCGAGAACCAGGATTTTCTCAGTTGGTAGAATGCCACTCACAGGTTGAGAACCACTGCTTTAGAGGCAAAAACAGGTAATGATAAGCAGGAAAAAGAAACATTGTTTTGTCTTCTGATATAAGTAATGTCCTGTCTTTCTGGTTGTCTCTAGCCTAGGCTATTCTGGAACTCACCTTGTAGCCCAGGCTGAACTTGAACTCATAGTATCCTGTCTCAGTCTCCCCAGTGCTGCGATTACATACTGGACTGTGCCAACTTCATGGAGTGCTGTTTTCTTTAGTGACCTAACATTATATCTGTCAGATTTAATGTTGCTATAATACATGCATTTTTATTTCCACATTAAATTTTGTTGCATGAAAAAATCATAGTTTGTTCATTTCAGTGCTGATAAACTTATAGTTGTCCCCCCCCCCGAGTTGATGTTAAAAATACAGTGCTTCTTTGAACATTCTATCCATGTGTCTAATGTTATGTGCAACATACAGATTGAAATTACTAGGTCTGTATTGGATGGGTCTTGAGCTTTCTTAGATCATACGAAAATTTTTCAATTTGATTTTACTAGATTTTACTTTCCCCTAAAAAGTAGAAATATTCTACTTTCCCAGTCGGCTTTTGAATTAAGATTTAATTCTCATAAAATGAAACATCCATTTTAAAAAGTTTTTATGTGGATGGGTATTTTGCCTACTTGTATGTCTATGGACATGTGTGTCTCATGCCCAAGGAAACCAGAGCAAGGTGTCAGAATCTTTTGCAACTGGAGCTACAGAAGTTGTGAACTACAATGTGGGTTCTGAGAATTGAACCCAATGTTCTGGAAGAATAGCCAGTGCTTATAACTCCTGAACCATCACTCCAGCCCTGTAATCACCTATTTATAAAAGTAGGTAATTCAGTGGTGTTTTAATATATTCACAAAAGTTTGCAACCACTGCTTAATTCCTGGATACTTTTTTTTTTCTTTTTAAAGATAAGATCTCACTATACAACTCTGGCTGGCCTAGAGCTGACTATAGATACCAGTGTTGGAGGAGGGCTGCTTGTTTTGTTCCCGGCTGCTCAGCCCCGAAATAATCACACAGAAACTGTATTAATTAAATCACTGCTTGGCCTATTAGCTCTAGCTTCCTATTGGCTAACTCTTATATCTTAATTTAACCCATTTCTAGTAATCTGTGGATCGCCATGTGGCTGTGTCTTAGTGGGTAAAGTTTAGGCATGTCTGTCTTTGACAGTGGCTCCATGGCTTCTCCCTGACTTTTCCTCTTTTTTCCCAGCATTCAGTTTAGTTTTCCCTGCCTAGCTGTGCTCTACCCTATCAACAGACCAAGGCAGTTTCTTTATTCACCAATGGTATTCACAGCATACAGAGGGGAATCCCACAACAGACCAGGCTGGTCTCAAAGTCACCTGCCTTGCTTCCCACTGCTGAGATTAAAGTCGTGTGCCACTACCCCCAGCTCCTGGGCATTTTTATAACCATAAATAGAAAACACATGTTATTAGCACTCCCTACATAAAACCCCAGCCCCTGGTAACCAGCAATTTAGTCTGGTTTTAATGTTTTTATTTTTTTTTTCTTTGTTTGTTTTTGTGACTGTGGTTTGCCATCACATATAAACAGGATTGAATATTATGTGGCCTTTGTAATGTCTTCTACTTTGCATAGTATATTTAATATACTCATCTTAGCTATCCCATGCCTTTGTATTAGGTATTTCTGGTTGCCCAAAAATGCTTAGGATGAGAAGTGCTTTAGATTTGGCTACGTTTTGTTTGTTTGTAGTTGTTGTTTTTTGTCTCTTGGAATCTTTGAGTTTGCATAATAAAGTTATTTAAGAGATGACACCCAAATCTAAATATGATATTTCTTTGTGTTTCATATGCAACTCTACCCAGTTACTTTATAGAGTATTTTAATATGCTTGGGTTTTGACTGTGACCTATCATTGAAGTCAGGTATGGAATTTTACATTTTTGGCATTATGTTAGTACTTAGAAAGTTTCAGATTTTGGAACATTTCAGACTTGGGATTTTTGGATTAGGGAAGTTTAATTGGTAAATAATATTCCATTTTATGAACGTACCATATTTTCATTCATCAGTTGGTATACGTTTGTATTGTTAGTGTTTTGGGGTTTTGTTATTTATTTATTTATTTTTGGTTTTTTGAGACAGAGTTTCTCTGTGTAACAGCGCTAGCTGTCCTGAAAATAGCTCTTGTATATCAGGCTGGCCTTGAACTCACAGAGATCTACCTGCCTCTGCCTCCCCGTAAAGACCTGCACCACCACCATCCGGCCCTAGTGTTTTGCTTTTCCAAACATGTTTACAGCTTTGTTGGAGCAGAACTGTTAGATTTTTATGAGATGCTAAATGGCTTTTAAAGTGCCTATACCATTTTACAGTTCTACAAAGTAATGTGTGAGGCTTCTGATTTTTTTTTTAAATATCCTTCTCAATACCCTCCACACCTTCATTTTTTGGCGCTAGTGATTGAATACATAGTTTTTTGCATGATAATTATACACTCTACTACCAAGCTACCCTGTCCATCTTTATAATTTTACACAGTGGATGTGAAGTGGTAACTCACAGTGATTTAATTTAATTTCCCTAATGATTTAGGGTGTTGCATCTTTTCATGTATTTATCGGCTGCTTATCCATTTTTCTTGGAGACATGATTTTCTTTTTATTATAAATTGAAAGAGTAGCCAGGTGGCGGCAGTGCACACCTTTAATACCAGCATTTGGGAGGCAGAGGCAGTTGGGTCTCCTTGAGTTTGAGGCCAGCCTGATCTACAAAGAGAGTTCCAGGACAGCCAGGACTGTTACACAGACAACTCTTGTCTTGAAAAATCAAATAAATAAATTGAAAGAGTATACTAGGTATAGTTAATAAAAAGAAACTTTTATGTTCATATATTTTCTACTCATTTGGAAATGTTTGTGGTTTTGCTAATTTCAACAATATTATATATTCTCAAAGGTACTTGAACATTTAAAAGTATTTGGGACTTTTCATCTAGAATTTCACATCCATTTTTGGACTCACAATGTTATCTAGGCTAGACTTTAACTCCTGGGCTTCTGTAACCTGGTGCCTGAGCCTCCAAGTAGCTGAGACCATAGGTGCACACCACTGTACCTGACTTCACATCTCTGAAACAGAGTTTTAATATTAGTTGTAAGGTACATAAAATCAAATATAAGCAGAAAGGTAGTTTTCTTTAACTTTTTGCTCATAGGTCTTTTTAACTGAGATTTGATTTCTGTTGTGTTTCATGTATTAAATACAGTATTTCATGTATTAAATTAAAGGCCATCTGCCTTCCGCAAGTGTGGCCCCTGTACCCTCCTGCAACTCAGCCGATTCTTACCATATATGCATTGTTCCCTGCTCCCTTTGCACAATGTTTTCATTAGCCTCATTGGACTGGAAGTCCAGCAGTGTCTGAATAAAGGGCTGGCTCAATAAATCACCAGAAGTTTCTTTCTCTTATTCGCAGTGGAAAGGTTCAGGGTGATTAGCAGGCCCTGTAGTTTGATCTCTTCATGACCTCATTTACAGACTGGGCTACAGATTTTCCTGTCAGTTCAAAGGGACATGTCCCTTTAGTATGAAAGGGAGGGAATGGCCCTTGGACGAGAGTGTGAGAACCACCGTGTAGAGCCTATAATAATGTGAAAGAAATGTGGGCTTTTCAGATCCATTGTAGAAGGAAATATAATCTGTAATGCTCACAACTGAATAGCTGGGACCCAGCAGAAGGTTTCCACAGTTCTGTTTACTAATTCATATTCAGCACAGCATTCAGCTTTAATTTCATCTTGTTCAGACTTGTTCTTATTAAGTGTATTCACAATCTGCTTTTCTTCTTAGAATTGGAGTCTTTTTTTTTTCTCTCACAGTTGCCTTAGTCTGTGAAGAAAAAGGCTTAGAAGACCTAAAGTTAATGTAGTCATTTATTTAGTTTCCTCATTCGTGCATGGGCTCATTCTCAGTTGCTAGACAGAATTCCTATCTTAGCACACATGACTCCATGTTTTTTGCATAGAAATTATAGAAATTGTACAATAAAGGGAATGGGAAAGTATCTGAGTGGATAAGAGTTTCATCCTGAATTTCATACTCCAAACCCAGACGAAGAGCCATTCTGGTAGTGTGCATCTTTATCTTGGAATTCCTGCGGGGAGATGAGGAAGTAGAGACAGGTCAGCTGTGAGTGTGCAGTGCAGCAACCTCAGAGATCCTCCTTCACACCAGAGACACGAGCCACTTCCCAGTCCACTGGCTTCTCACGCGCGCGCACACACAGGCTCGAGGGCTGCCAGGATGGTTTGGTGGGTGAAATGTTTGCTGCCAAGCCTGAGTTTCATCTCCAGAACCTACATGTTGGAAGGAAAGAGCCAACTGCTTAAAAAGCTGTCCTCTGACTTCCACACTCACGCCATGGCACATCCACACACACCCTCAGAAATAAGAATAAAATGCAATAAAAGCATATTTGAACAAACTATGTTTTCTGAGTATGCATTGGGTTTTGCCTTATAATGTGAGGGGGTCTGTGGTTTAGACCCCTCCCCTTGCCACACTGTTTTCTCTGTGTAGCCCTGGCTGTCCTGGAACTTGCTTTGTAAACCAGGATGGCCTCAAACTCACAGAGATCCACCTTCCTCTGCCTCCCAAGTGCTGGGATTAAAGGCGGATACCACCATGCCCAGTGATGTGAGATCTTTTTCTCTTTTTGGGAGTGGGGGTGGGGATTTCAAGACAGGTTTTCTCTGTGAAAATTTTCTCTGTGACTGTCCTGGAAATCACTCTGTAGACCAGGCTGGCCTCAAACTCACAGAGGTTCATCTGCCTCTGCCCCTCAAGTGCTGGGAACAGTTCTAGAACAAGTGGGGGGCTATTACATAGAAACATCCTGTCTTGAAAAACTAAACAGAGAAAAAGAAAAACAAATTCTTGTAAGAGACTATATATATTCATTCATTAATTCTGAGGTCCCTAGACATTCAGGTTACAGTTCTCTCTGAGCTAACATTCTAGACAGGAAGGCATCCTGCAAGTAACAGTGTAGTAAGAACTAGTCTGTTGTGTTGGGAGAAGCGTGGCATATTCAGGGAAAAGAAGATGAGCTGAAACACCTAACCTGTCTCACCTTTATTAAAACCATCACCACAAACCTGGAGAGAGGGCTTGGCAGCTAAGACCATGGATGCTCTTCCAAAGGACCCAGATGCAGTTCCCAGCATCCACCATGGCTTACAGCCACCTGTAGCTTGAGTTTAATGCCTTCTTTTGGCCTTCATGGGAACCAGACCATGGTACACAGATACACATATAGACAAAATATCCATACACATAAAATAAAAGTAAATTTTAAAACTCTTATATGAAAGCACAATCTTAAGAGTACTTTGAATTATAAAGCAAATGATACCAGGGGTGGGAGTGGAGGGGCCTCTAATTAGGAAGAAGCATAGGTCATTGATGAGCAACAGGATTGGCTTCACCTGCGTACACTTAGAAACAGTGCCACAGGGTGGGGAGCCGGTTCAGTTGATAGTGTGCTTGCTGTGCAAGCCTGAGACCATCTGTGTGTAGTTCAATCCTCAGCACCTGTGGAAAAAGCTAGACGTGATGATGTATGCTCATATCTGGTGCTAGGGAGACAGATGGGAAGATCCCTGGGGTTTGCTGGCCTGCTGACCTAGCCTGATTAACAAGTCCTAAGTCTCAGTGAGAGACCCTGTCTCAGAAGCACATCTGCACACATGTGCACACACACAGCGGGAGGTGGGGGAAGGGTGACAGGAGTGTGTCTGTCTGCCTGATCCATAAGCTGTGTGATCTCTCCTAAAATAGTTCTTATTTGTTTTGTCTCTGTCCAATTCTGGCTTTGACTGTTAATGTCACTGTCATAGTCTTTCATGGTGAGAATGCCAGATGTGTAAGATAGTCCACATTCTGACCTCATTCTTACTATACCCAGTAAGCAACCTTGTCATGTTACATAAAGACAAAGGGAGGCTAGAGTAATTAGAGTGCATCCTGCTGTTCAGTTCCTATCGGACAGCTCACAGCTCGGACTCACACCCCTTTCCTCCATTGGCACCTCATACATACATTCCCACTTGGGCTTTTACAGATACACATGATTTAAAAAGAATAAAATAAATCTTGGGGAAAGCAAAAACACTGAACTAAAAGGAGCCAGTGATGGTTTTACTTTGAATTCTTTCTCCTTGAAGTCTGTCTTCCTTTATTTTTTTTTTCCATTCTCTTTCAGGAATTTATTTGTGCCTC